TACACCCTATCGAGTTGTGTCCCCTCCTTCTACGATACATCGAAGAGCTCTGCCGAGCTTCGATCGTCTCCGCTAACCACCCACAGCCTCCGAGTAGCTTCGACGACGTGTCGAAGCCACCTCGTACCTTCCCTATCGTTCGTAGCCTTTTCCAAGGGCGTTTCTCGTGTTCACTCGAACTGCGGGACACCTTGCTGCTAACTCCCCTCTCACTAAGACTATAATCCGTCTCTCTAGTCCCTTTAGGTCGCACCCAGGTTAGGGGTTAGGGTTACGTAGGTCGTATCAGCGGCAATGGAGATGGCCCAGAACGTCCTGGCCAAGAGAGTAAAAAGGAAAGGGGGTTCCTTCCGTAAAGGTCAGCTGGTATGGCTAGACTCCCGGAACTTGAAGCTGCCGTACCCGTCCAGGAAACTAGCCCCGAGGCGAGAAGGGCCGTTCAAAGTCCTAGACAAGATCGGAATGGTCGCGTACAAGCTAGACTTGCCTAGCACCTGGCGAGTCCACCCCGTTTTCCACGAATGGCTTCTATCTCCCTACTCGGAAACGGAGATCCATGGTCCGAACTACACGAGGCCACCCCTTGACCTTATCGAAGGCGAAGATAACTACGAAGTCGAAGCCATCATCGGACGCCGAGAGAACAAGAGGATGCGACGCCGCGAATATCGCGTCAGGTGGAAAGGTTACTCAACAGCCGATGACTCATGGGAGCCCGAGGCGAACCTGACTGGAACGGCTGACGAAGTGTTGGCAGAGTATAAGAAGAGGAAGAACTTGAGCTGAGTCGATAGCAGCTCTACCCAGTCGCTACATCCCCACTCGCACCAACATGTCTTCCACCCTTTCGTTCCTCGACCAGTTCAATGCCCCCTCGACCGAGGGCGGAAAGAGGATCTCAATCTACACCCCTAAGCACACCCATGTCGGTGACAGCGCTTTGCTGACGCTACTCCTCAGTAACCCCACTGACGTCTTCAATAAACTCAAAACCCACAACCCCGAGGCAACCAATGCCACTGACCGCGCTGCACTAGAAGCGTATCTCTCCGCCCACTGTGACTATGACGAGGCTG